CGTAGTGACATCTGTTCCTGGAGAGAAGTCACGCAGGGGCGAGCGAACAGGATCTCTGCCCTGGAGAGGCCGAAGGGCTTGCCCCAATTGAGTTGGCTGCTGACTCCTTGCTTGAATGCTCTGGCAGAGTGATGATACGTTCAATTTTGGGCGCCATTCATCAGAATTGTAAGAACCAGGTTTCAGAGGAATCGAATCACGATCGTGTATGCCTATATAAATAATGGTCCATACTACTTAATAACCATATTCAGTAATTAAAAAAATAATATAATATTTGAAGATATGAAAACCAAGATGGTGTGGCCTTTTGTGTGGTCGCAATCTCCTTTCGTTGTATAGAAGTTGTTTGACCTTGTTTTCGCAACTTGGTCATATTGCTAAGACTTAGAGGAGCGCACCTTGCCCGAAGTCCATTTTATGCATCATCATTTCCAGAGTAGGACCGTGGACGTAGTACATTCCCAGACGTTTCGCCGGCATCGTCAATGCGTTTTACAATTTCTTGAACCATATTAAAACGCGTAAGAGACAAGTGAAGCGGATCCTTTGACCAAACGTGTGCTAAACAGTTATGGTATGTCCCATTCTGCCCTGGCTTATTCACATGTCCTATATCCTCCTACACGCCTTCAACGTAACAATTTTTTTACTTGCTTAATTAAATGTGGTACGGTGTGCCCCTTTTTTTAGCGGCTGTCATGACAACCCCGCAGTCCACACTGGCCTTCTCACCCCCCTTCATGCTTGTGCTGGAAATGTTGATCAGAGTTTGCCATATTGTTACGCCGCCCTCCTTCCCTAGGTCTTACCACAGTCTCTCTCTTGCCCCGTAGGATCCGTCCGCCCGCTTACTGATTCACATATTTCACTCTACCCCTGCCCCCCTGTCTGTGCTACTCGAGGCGTTATGGCCTATAAACTGCGTCTGGATGACGAATTCGAGGCTCAAGCCTGTGAGTAAGTCTCAAGGTCAGACCTTTGCCATATGGACCACGTCTCTTATAAAAACTACTGACACCCCACTAGCCCCTATTGAAGCCGAGTCTACTATGTTTCTGTCTCTAAT